GTTTATCACTTCCTAACAATCGTTTTTCTGCTGCAGATATTATGGTTACTCGGGGTAGCAGCAGTGGCTTCCCTGCCGCTGTCGGACCCCCCCACACCCAACAAGCACGACCTTCTGCAGATGATCCTCAACGCACGACCTGAAGACAACGACCTTGAAGGAAATGCCGTCGAAGTCCTCCCTGAGGCTGAGGCCCTGGATGTACCGGTAACCACCCAGTCGTCCGTCAATGCGACCTCCAAGGTGCCAGCTGATAAGGCTTCTACTCCTGTCGTCACTACGCCTGAGCAGGAACAGGTGCAGCAGCAGCAGCTGGTAGCGGAGGACGACCAGGAACAGGCAACTGAACAAGCGCAGAAGCCCGAAGAGATAGAACAAGCGCCTGCACAAGAACAAGCGCCCGAGCAGGAACAGCAAGCGCCTGAGGAGGTGGCGTTGCCCGAGCAGGAGCAGGTCCCCGAGGAGGTACAACAGGTTCCTCAGCAGGATGCAGAAGAACCAATCCCCGAGCAGGAGCAGCTCCCTGTCGAACCGCAGGCTAACCCCCTCGTGCCTGTCCCGGTCCAAGAACCTTCAAGGCTGGAATACTTCATCCCTGACACAGATGAAGAACCCGAGATTGTGTACATTCCTATGCTCGATGTTCCTGAAGAGCTTCCTGAAGATGGTTTTATAACAGAACCCCAAGACGGAGGAGAGGAAATGGATGTTACCGAGGAATTCCCTGTAGACACTGTTGACGTTCCTGAAGACAGCTCTGAAGAACCTGTGGATGTCTTTATTGCTCCTGAAGAAGTGCCTGAGGGCTTTGTGCCTGAAGAAGTGCCTGAGGGCTTTGTGCCTGAAGAAGTGCCTGAGGGCTTTGTGCCTGAAGAAGTGCCTGAGGGCTTTGTGCCTGAGTATGATGGCCCTGAAGAAGACTCCACAGAAAGCTCTGAGGACCCTGATTATGTGCCTGAAGAGGTTTTTTATGCTCCTGATGAGGTCTCTGAAGGAATCCCAGTTATCCTTGAAGAAGTCTCTGATGACCCTGAATATGATGGCCCTGAGGACTTCCCACAAGAAGTTCCTGAAGTAGTTTTTGACAATTTTGGTACTCCCGAAGAAGTTTCTGAAGACAGGTTTGATGGACCTCAAGAGATGCCTGAAGAATTTTCTGATGTCCAAGATGAAGTTCCTGAGGGAATCGTAGTTATCCCTGTCGAAAATTTTGATGCCATCGAAGGCGCCTCTGCAGATAATTTTGATGGACCTCAAGAGGGCCCTGAAGCCGAGGCAGGAATTCCCGAAGGAGTCTTTGCTGTCCTTGAAGAAGTCCCAGAAGGATTTTATATCCGTGAGGAGATCCCCGAGGGAATATTTGTCCCTGAAGAAGAATCTGAAGTCGATGGCCCCGAAGACATCCCCGAAGGTATTCCTGATGGTGAAGTCCCTGAGGATGCGTTTGATGGTCCTCAAGATGCCCCTGAAGGTTTTGATGCTCCTGAAGTGAAGCTAATAACTAGTCCCAGACATGGGCCAGGAATTCATCGAGTCCCTTAATCAACTACAGAACGAGCATCGAGACAGGGGAGCCACCGAGGATGACGAACCTGAGGATTTTGAGCTTCAAGAAAACCCACAAGAGGAGACTATCTTCGACCCACCCGTTGTATATTTCGTACCTGAAGGCGAAACGTTCGTGCCCGAGAATGCCGACTACACTCCCGAGGAGGAATACAACTTGGAGGGAAACCCTGACATGGAGCAGGATATGCCACTGATGGAGGAAGAGGAGTATGTCCCCGACGATGCACCCATCGCCTCTGACGGTTATTTCGTCGGTGAGGAACAGCCAGTGATTGAAGATAGTGCTTTTGTGCCTGAGGAGGAGATCTCGAATGACGAAGCCATGCCAGATAACCTCCCTATAGCAGTGTTCCACACTTCTGAAGGTGACGTAATCGTACCTGCGTTCCTTCCAGACATGCCGGAAGAGTCCTCTTCTGAAGAGGATGTTCCAGAACAGTTCTACCCGCAAGGTGAGGAGTCCGAGGGCGAAAGCTTTGCGCCGTTCCTTCCAGAGGCCGATAATGACGAAATGGTCTTCAGGCCCTTCGGCGGGTTCCCTTTCTTCCGTCCTGCTGTGGTAATGCGTCCAGAGACAGAAGGAGAGGAGGAGCAGGAAGGCGATGAGTCCACTGGGCCATATGTACCACCGAACTTAGTCGAGATCGTGGTTATTGGCACCCAAGGCGACCGCAATGACAGGCTCCCCTTCCCCTTCGCTCCCCAGCGGCCTTTCGATGTGCAGATGCAGCCTGAACAGCTGCCCGTCCGCCCCATCGCGCCCATCGCTGGAGAAACATTCCGCCCTGATGAGCCTCTGCTGCCCATCGCCGGAGAGCCACAGACAGACGGGGAGGATCAGCTGACTCCCATCGTGGTCGACAATCAGACATTTCTGATCCCCAATGAAAATGACAGCCAGAGAATCATTTTCCCCGAGGATGACGAGCCC